GATAGGTGCCCATACGTCCCTGCCTCCGGCCCTTATGCGAGCGACGATGTCGTCGTTCACGTCCCGACGCGTACCCACGCATCGGCACACACCCTCGTGAACGTGTGTGCCCTGGTCGCCAGCGGCAGCTAGTTGCGCGTTTGCGGAAGGGCTGCCGCCTTTCCTTCCGTGCGCCCTTCCCCCATACTCCGTCCAGAGTTCGTAGATCTGTCTCTCCTCTTCTTAGCGCAGTCTCGGGCGATATGGCCTTTAATGCCACAGTAGTAGCACAGGGCATCCGCAAAGCGCTCCTCCGGGGTGGGGAGCACGGGAGACTTATTTTGAACATCACGTGTCACCTGCCCATCTGGTGATAATCCCTCGCCATCCACGATTGCGCGGACGCGCTCGGATCTGAATTTCGTCTCCCTTTGCGTGGTTCCCTTTGTCCCGCTCATCATAGCGACGCGGCTGGTGACGTCATCAAAAGAACCCTGCACGGCGAGTGCATGATCCCTCAAACGTCCCGTGAGGGACTGTGTGAAGCGGTCGAGTAAGCGTTCATCGGAAACAGCTTCTGGCAGAGCGACCGCCGCTGCACGAAGCCTTTGGGCGAACTGCGTTATATTTTCGCGACTTTCCTCCCACGCCATTGTGTCAAAAGCGATGCGCAGACACCTTTGGTGGCTGGCGTTACACATTCGCGCCTGCAAGAGGTCCCATAGGCCACATGCATCAGCTTCCAGGTGCGAGGACGCAACGTCCTCAAAAATTGCAAGGGCTGTGCCACTAAAAGCACAGGCGAGAAGTCGGCGATGTAGTCCAGGCTGCACAGGAAAGTCCTTACACAGCCTCCTCCAGGCCTTTCTTGCAGCAAAAAACCGAGCGTCTCCAGGCTTAGAGACCCGCACTGCGTCCATAGACCTACTATATATCTTATAGGCTGTGTGCAGCGGGTAGAATTCCTGAGTCCCTTGCCCTGATTGGCCGGTACGTGGGCTTTGTCCCGAGGGGTACGCATCGGACACTTCCATTACCCCTCTCTTCACGGGCGTAGACGGGAGGTCCTCTGCCTCCGACCTTCCGGGGGCTTTTAGATCCTTCCTAGCGTCCGCTGCCGCTGCTATCATTGATGATAGCTTCTCCGGCAGCGATTCGATTGCAGTGGATGCTGAAGAAATGACATTTCCCGCAAGCACAACTGCACTCGTGGTCCTATCCATGGACGTCAGCATGTCTTCCATGATCTCCTTCATTCCGGCTACGGCGCGAAGCACACGGGACTCTGTTTCCTCAGGCCCGAGTCCGGGGCCCTGACTATAGCCGGCTCCCTCCCCGCTCCCGCGTCGGCGTTGGGACCTCAGGGACTGCGGGGCCTCAACACCGGCGCTGTGGGACTGCGGGGTCTCATACGTGAGCCCAGCCGGACGACTCTCCGTTGCATTGGTCACAGGACTGATTTCGCCCACTTGGTCTCCTTCCCTGCGATTCGAGCGTACTGCAGTGTTAGGGTCCGCACCTTCCTCGTCCCGGTCCTGACGATTGCGCGTCATGATGAGAAAAAACGCCCCTTGTTCCTAGCCTCTGCCAATCCAGGCAGACCGATCGCAAAGCTCCGCGATCTTACAAGCTTGTAATGTTGCGGCAATTCCTCCGCGAGATACCGAGCGACCTGTGCCAACGAGAATCCACTCGTCTTCGTCTTTATTCTTCACAAGTCTGCTGCCCTCCCCTTCCCTATCTGCTCCAGGGACGGCTCTTAAGTACTCTATGCCCGGGGGCTGTCCTCTCTTCCCCCGACCTCTCCTGGCGCCCCCTTTCCCTTCAGCTTCCCTCTGCCCCAGTCCTGGCGCCCTCCTCCTGCTCCTTTCCTTTCACCCACACGGCCGGTGGCCTCCCCCGTCTTCTTGTCCCGGCCCAAGTCCCCTCGCAGCCACGGGTTTCCCTTCATCCTCCTTCTGTCTACCACCGACAGTTCCCCGCGCGCATGATCCCGCCACTTCTACTGCCTTTCGGTTGGTACGCCTCGGTTCCGGCCGTGTCCGCTTTGATTCGCCTTACGCGTGTCCACCTTGCCACCTGGCACCTGGGTTCATCCGTAACAGTACTGTACCAAGGGTACCCTGTACAGTACTACAGTACTGTACCACAATTTGCCCCTTCTCATCCTCACCACAGATTGAGGGAGTCCGCGACAACACTTCACTCAAAAACCTTGCAAGTCTTATATCTTCCACCACACACATCCGTCCTTATGTGTATCCTTCCTGTCCCCACCTCCTTGCTGCCGTCGCCCTGGTGGAGCGCAATTCGTATTGCCAATGCCGAAAACCGTGGGAGTCCAGCTCGGCACATTCCCAATTTCTACGAATCTCTTGTGCTCGCCTTGCCCTGTAGACCGCGAGCATCATTACCGTACACACCACTTTCGATATCGGACAGAAAAATAAAGCGGTATCCTCGCCGTCGACCCTTCTCTTCTTCTACGGTACACCATCACGAGCCCTCCACTTGAGATATTTTTCATCCACAAACGTCACTGTATGTATGAAGCCAAGCCCCGCCGGCGGCCCCCGCCAACTCCCGTATCATTACACCTGTGATTCATGTCCACTACACAACTGTACAGTACATTTCTGAAAAGGTGAGCAATAGCAATTTACATCCCGCCCTCCGATTACTGTATTTCCACCTCTCTGTCCCCGTCCGTCCTCATAGTATTCTCTCTCTTTGTTGTCCACCAACAACAACCACATGGTTGTGACCAGGGTCCCCATTTGCTCCCTTATTGTCACCTCTTGAGCTTCACCGAGCTCGACCTCATCCTGTCCACGACAGATACCTGTCTACGACAGATACCCTACCACAATCTGCCTTTCAGATCGCGCCTCGTCTCGAGCTCGCATTCTGTCAATCCTTATAACCGTGCCAGGCTTGCATCCATTCCAACTCCATCCTCGGGCGACACATGATGGCCCACAACGTCGGTAAAACTTTATTTACAACCAGGGAGAACCCGCACAACGTCGGGGTAGTATCCGGTCTGGCAAACTCTTCCCGACGTTGAATTGCAATCCCTCATTTCAATGATACGTAACAAGACGTGGAGTGTGATCATGATCATCACACACGTCCTGCATAGTTGTGTGTGTGAAAATTGCTCTTCTTTCCGGACCACGGTTTCTCATCCCCAGCTCCTCGCACACCAACGACCCTTACGATACTGCTGAGCGAGCAAAGGATGTCACTTTCGGTTTTTTCACATCCAGCCCCATCGCTCTGCTTCACCCGTTTATGGAACGAAGGTCGCAGAGGGGATGCCCTCCCGGGCAACCCAAAACGTGCGGTGCCTGCGGACCCCCCGCTGGTCCGATACTTACAGTTTCTCCGTAAGTGGACCCGTCAGTCACGTCAGTGCAGCGCAGTTGGAAAGTGGAAAGGAAATACGGGACGACCAGTCCATGCCGCCGGATAGCCATTGGACCAATCCTGATTTCTCCACCCAAAATTGCTCCCTTCATATCTATTTCTCATAGCTTACAATCTTCATCATCCTCCCCCCTTAATATATCTACTGTACAGTATTATACAATAATACAAAATCACTACCGTGAGGTAGCTAACGAGAATTCAAAAACACTTCCCTCCGACACTCTCATGTACACGACTGCAACGTGGAGACCGTGCATACCGTGGACACCTAACCCCTTTCTCTGCCCAATATTGATCCTAGATCCAATTGTTGAATCAGACCAGATCTCATCTGTATTACAGTGTCAGCATTCCCACTGTACAGTAGCTAGACAGTACTGTACGCCAAAATATATATATCATACTGTACCATGATTTCCATCATAACTTTTCCGCCGGCGGTGGCGTAGATCATTGCCGTCCGTCAAAACCCGGCCCTAACCCATCCCCTCGGCCCTCAGCTCCCGCACACGACATACGAGGCATACGGCCTCCCAACTACATTCTGCATCAACCAACCTCCCTTCGAGTCACAATCCATCCCCTTTTCCTCATCATGGTGCTGTACAACTTCAAGAAGCTCACCGTAGTGCCCTCTGGCCCGGCCCTGGTCGACAATGTCCTCTCCAAGACGCAGCGCAAGACCCCGACCGTCACACACAAGGGCTACTCCATCGGCCGCATCCGCGACTTCTACATGCGCAAGGTCAAGTTTTCCCAGCAAATGTTCCACGACAAGCTCACCCAAATCCTCACCGACTTTCCCAACTTTGACGACTTGCACCCCTTCTACGCGGACCTTCTCAATGTCCTCTACAGCCGCGATCACTACAAGCTTGCCCTCGGCCAGTTGGCCACCGCACGCTCCCTCATCGACGGTATCGCCAAGGACTACGTCCGCCTCCTGAAGTATGCAGACTCGCTGTATCGCTGCAAGTGTCTCAAGCGCGCCGCCTTGGGGAGGATGTGTACCCTCATTTCACGCCACAAGAAGAACCTCGCCTTTCTCGAACAGGTGCGCCAGCATCTCGCCCGCCTTCCGTCTATTGACCCTGCCACCCGTACGCTGCTCATAGCCGGCTTTCCAAACGTTGGTAAGAGCTCGTTCATCAATAAGATCACACGCGCGGATGTCGAAGTACAGCCTTACGCTTTCACCACCAAGTCGCTCTTCGTCGGACATTGCGACTACAACTACTTGCGCTGGCAAGTTATCGACACCCCAGGCATCCTTGACCATGAATTGGAAGCTCGGAACATTATCGAACTGCAAAGCATCACCGCACTGGCACATCTCCGCGCTTGCGTCTTGTTTTTTGTTGATCCTAGCGAGCAATGCGGTTATTCTCTCGAGAAGCAGCACTCGCTTTTCAAAAGCATCATGCCGCTTTTCGCAAACAAGCCGGTCATCGTCGTCACCACCAAGACGGATCTTGGATGGGAGGAACAGCTTGACGAATCTGCTCGCGCTATGCTTGAATCCTTTGTCTCTGATTCTGGCGGGAGGGCCGAAATGATGAAGATATCGGCCCATGAGGAAGTCGGCGTCACGGAAGTTAAGAACAGGGCATGTGACAGGTTGCTTGCTGCTCGAGTTGAGGCAAAGGTACGCGGAAAGAAAGTTCAGAATGTCCTCAACAGGCTGCATCTGGCCACCCCGAAAGTGCAGAATGCCAGCCGCACACCCAACATACCTGCGTCAGTTCTTGCCAAACGCAAGGCGGCGGCGCAGATTGCCGAAAGCGATGACGAAGATGAAATGATGACGGGCGACAACGACGACACCGCGAAGCAGCTCGAGAAGGATCTTCAGGAGGAGAACGGCGGTGCCGGGGTATACTCTATGGACTGGCGAAAACTGTACCAGCTGCAAAAGAAGGACTGGGCCTATGATGTTATGCCTGAGATTGTCGATGGCAAGAACATTGCAGACTTCGTTGATCCCGATATTGAGTCTAAACTACACCGACTCGAGCTGGAAGAAGACGCTCGTGAAGCTGTTCGAGATGTGCAGAACGATGCCGAAGTCGGGGGATACAGACTTGTCACGGAGGAAGAGATGAAGAAGGTTAAGCAGATCAAGGGCAAGAAGGTAATGATCATGGCTGAATCATCAAGAGAGAAGTCTGCGCACAAACATCGCAGTGCAATCCAGAGGAACAAGATTCCGATGAGGCGTTCTCGACTCCAAGGGCATTTAGAGGGCTTGGGTCTCAGGACAGAAGAGGCAAGCGAACTTGTCGACCGCGCCGCGAGCCGAACAGGGAAGAAACGATCACGGTCGGAAAGCGTTGGCCACTCTGTGGCAAGATCTGAGAGCCGGGGAAGATCGAAGTCGAGATCCCGGTCGGTCAGTCTGGCACCTTCAGATGGATTCTCGAACGTCAAGCAAAAGGCGAAGGCTCAGGAAATGGAACGCAAGCGAATCAAGACAGGCGTTGCCAAATATTCGAAGAAGGGCATCGCGGATCGAAGCATTCACACGAAAATGCCGAAGCATTTGTTCAGTGGAAAGCGAGGCATTGGCAAGACAGACTGGAGATAGTTGTTATATTCAGCTGGTCTACATATTCGCTAGTAGTTACTCTCACTCTACTTTCTTTCTGTAAAGCAATCTCAATAGAAAGGAAACTGAGCACAAGTGTTTTCCTTTTTGTGTGTGATTTCCGACATGTGTTCTTACAGTACGAAGGTGAGAATCGATGATACAGCGCTGAGCACGGTCTTTGCCCGGAGAAAGCCAGTGCGCGAAATATCACGGCCAGTTTCATGTTGTCTGCGAAACCAGAAACTCACGCATCCCACCCCCCCCCCCCCCACGTCCTCTCACATTTTCAATACAAACAACTTCTCCTCAAACCACACTTACCAATCCAAT